GGGAACGGAGAATTAGGCTGCCAGCCCTGCATGATTTAAGATTAACAGCCCCCCCCCCCCCCCCTTCCAAAAAAAAAAAAAGAGAGAGAGAGAGATTGACAGCGATAACAAACTGACTGGGAAAAAAAGAATAAAGAGAGATAACAAACTAAAGAGAAAAAGGGAACTAGAAATGAACTTAGGCCCAGCTCCGCCTATCCTCACACTAGGTCATCATTCATTGATGGTTTTTCAGGTTGGCTCACGTTGGTCAAGGTTACAGGGGTGACCCGGTCTACTGCTGTAGATTGCACCCTCTTGTGGTACCCAGATTTAATGTATTAGGGAGGGGGTTTGGAGTTACGGCCAGTTGTATATCTTATAGGGTTGTTAAGGGCGCTCACGTCCTATAATAGAGAGCACGCGTGGTCGCCGGTAGGAGCGTCGACCAAGCTGACGTCCCTGCCACTTACACTTGCGCGTCTAACTGGTTGAGGCGGAGACTGAAAGTTCAATCACAGTGTCTTTTAATCATAAGTGTGTAAATGAGCAGAGCTGGGCCTGAGTTCGTTACGTGTACCACCACCAACAACAACAACAAAAAGATAAGCTAACTAAAGAGAATAATCACGTTTCAGCGGTAGCACCAACAGCAGAAGAAGGCGTGCCAGACATAGTCCTCTCTAGTCTTCAGCAAGACAAAAGCTTCAAAACAGAATATTCCTTTTTAACTAAACCGACTACTCTAATTTGAGGGCCGCCGAAACTTACCACCTGAAGCCGGACCACAGCCCGGCGCTAGCCGGACCACAGCCCGGCGCAAGCCGGACCACATCCCGGCGCTAGCAGGACCACAGCCCGGCAATAGCCGGACCATACAAACTTTTAGAGAAGAAGAAATCCAATCTTTCAAGAAGTGAAATGACATGGCCAAGCTGTCAGTCTTAATTGACAATCCAAGACGGAATTGGGCCAGACGGAGCGAGAGACAATCAGCTAAACGCTCAATCAGTCTTAGAAGTCCGTTCAAATTCTGCAACTTTCCCGTGTGGGTTGTGTGGGTTCCAGGCACCCATTATGAGGGAAAAACTAGAATAGACCCACTCTTATCATAACAAGCATGTAGTAGCAGTCGACAAACTGTAAGTTTCATGTGAAATTGAGTGCATCTGCCAGAGTGGTTGAGGAACAACCAAATGCACGCAAATAAGCTAGTAAAACGGATGTACACGCAAAACTCAGGCCTTGGAACAAAGTCAAAGTCCAGCTGAACAAACAACCAGGACTTTCCACTGCAGATTACTGTCGGTGAACGAAGAAGAGAAGACTCTGCAACCTGTGGTAAAAATAGAGGTGTTTCTGGGATCAGCATCATGTGCAACGCCGGGCTGCATAGATGATCCCTCATTGGGGGCAACAAATGACCCGTTTTTTCTTCCTCTTAGTTTGTCTTCCTCTTCTTCTTCGCGTTCACCAGCTGTACACTCTGGCGTAAAGCTCTGGTTGTTCGTCCACTTCTGGACTGTAGTCCTGCTCCAGAACCTGAGTGTTGCGTGTGCATCAGTTTTACAGATCTGATTCAATTGAATGCAGACTGCTGGTTCCTTGCCTCTCCGGCAGATGCACTCTCCTTCAAAGGAAGCACCCCAGTTAGTCGACTCTTACGACATGCTTTTGGGGAGGCAGTGGGTCTATTCATGGTTTCCCCAAAAAAGGGCCCCGGAACCCACACGGGGGTCTTAGTTTGTGTGCTGCTGCTGCGTTCGACATTAGCCATACTAAAAATTCAGTCCTGGCTGTACCCTTGTCAAGACGTTGAATTTACTGCTATAAATGCTCACTGGCAACTATGAATCTCTTTTAACTGCCGTGGATAGGCAATAAATGCAATAGTATGGACATGTAATAAGATCTAACGGCCTCTCAAAAACAAAACTGCAGGGCTCAGTAAAGGGAAGGAGGAGAAGAGGCAGACCAAGAAAGACTTGGCTTCAGAACCTGACTGACTGGACAGGCCTCAGGCATGCAACCATGAAGTCCATCGCAACTGACCGCCAAAGGTGGACAGAAATGATCAGTTAGAAACTGTTGACCAAACGACACGTAGTGTTACGGGATGATGATGATGATGATGATGATGATGAAATGCTCCTTCCCTACATAAGTGAGAATACCAGATAACATCCGCTGCATGTCCCGTTTGTAAACTACTGAAGAAACAATTAACCCCGACAATATCCAGAAACATGCACACGCAGTAAATGTATAAGGAACTGCTAGAGATACCAGAAACAACAGGATTGCAATCTGTCACCTAATCAATCAATCAACCAGTCACATGAAAACATGAGTCAGTGAATCAATCAAGCAACCAGTTAGCTAATCAATTATTTATCTATTTAAAAAAAAGGGGCAAATAATAACTAGGACAATCGATTATTTAAGCAACCATCCAACTATTCATTCAACAAAATAGCTCTTTTAACCAACCAGTCAGACAACCCTCCAGCATACCAGATCAGCCAACCAATAACCAACCAGCCTAACAACTATACAGATAGCCAGCCTGACAGATAACCAACCACCCAGATAACCAACCATCCAATATCTGCACACATTCTCAGGAACAGAAACAAAAGAATACTCAAGCATGCGAAAAAAGGAAACCTCTCCAACAAAACAAAGTGTCCGCAAACAAAAGATCCAGGACAACCGACGTCAAGACACACGAAGACTAGGAAGTAATTGATTAGTGGCCGTCACCTGACCCGCCCACCTGTGGAGGCTCCACTTACCTGAAGTCACAGAGTCCGTGGCTGGGGCGATGGTCAGAAGTGACAAGGACAAGACTGACCTGTCTTGGAGCTGGTCGTTAATTAAGTCGTTCAGCTGCATTAGCTGTGACAAGTTCATCAAGGGCGAGCGATGGCTCGCCGGCGACAAGAGATGCTGTTGGCTTTTTCTCAAGAGGTTGTTGGCATGACCTAGATTTCAAAAGAGGTATTGTTGGAACGGAGAGCTTCTCGGTGACAAAACTGATGGACGGATGGATGAAAGGATGGATGGACAGAGAAATGGATGGATAGAAAGATAAATTGGGGGGATGGATATATGAATGGAGGATGGGTGGTTAATTGGATGGATGGATCGAGTGGTTGTCGTTTGAATGGATGGATAGATAGATATTATTTTTCTTCTTCTTCTTCTTCTTCTTCTTCTTCTTCTTCTTCTTCTTCTTCTTCTTCTTCTTCTTCTTCTTCTTCTTCTTCTTCTTCTTCTTCTTCTTCTTCTTCTTCTTCTTCTTCTTCTTCTTCTTCTTCTTCTTCTTCTTCTTCTTCTTCTCTTCTTCTTCTTCTTCTTCTTCTTCTTCTTCTTCTTCTTCTCTTCTTCTTCTTCTTCTTCTTCTTCTTCTTCTTCTTTCTTCTTCTTCTTCTTCTTCTTCTTCTTCTTCTTCTTCTTCTTCTTCTTCTTCTTCTTCTTCTTCTTCTTCTTCTTCTTCTTCTTCTTCTTCTTCTTCTTCTTCTTCTTCTTCTTCTTCTTCTTCTTCTTCTTCTTCTTCTTCTTCTTCTTCTTCTTCTTCTTCTTCTTCTTCTTCTTCTTCTTCTTCTTCTTCTTCTTCTTCTTCTTCTTCTTCTTCTTCTTCTTCTTCTTCTTCTTCTTCTTCTTCTTCTTCTTCTTCTTCTTCTTCTTCTTCTTCTTCTTCTTCTTCTTCTTCTTCTTCTTCTTCTTCTTCTTCATCTTCTTCGTTTTACACCATTTATCCATATCTTTCTTGGTCCTCATCTTGCCTTCCTCCTATATATTATGATGTAAAAAGTCTCATGTGTAGTCTGGTCTGGCTACTTTCCCACTAAATGCTGAAACATTTCTCTCTTTGTCTGTCCGTTTAATGCAGACATTGTCTTTTTCCGACTTTGCCCCTAATGCTTGTATTCGAATGATTGATAGATGAGAAAAAAGTGAGGGTGGGGGGGGGGGGGGGGCGGTGGGTTTAATGGACGGCAAGGTAAGTAGGTAGTCAGTCAGTCAGGTAAGTAGGTAGTTAGACGGTCAGGTAATTAGGTAAGTAGGTATTAGTCGATTAGGTTAGGAGGTAAATAGGTTTAATCAGTATTTAAGTAGGTATGTAGTCAGTAGGACAGCTAGGTAAGTAAGTAAGTAAGTAGGTGAAGTCAGTAAGTAAGTAGTAAGTAGATATGCATTTCGTTAGTCCGTTACGTAAGTAGGTAATTAAATACTCAATTAGGTAAACAGGTAAGTGGGTAGGTAGTTCGTTAGTCAGTAACACAAGGGGGTCAAGTAAGTAGCTACATAGTAAGCCGTTGAAAAGATAGTTTAAACGTATGAATCGGCGAATTTATAGCCACAGTTTTGAGACTGTGCACGCTGCGGCATGGAATATTCTACACCCTTCTTGACTTACACATTTTATACATTAATTAATTAAAATCTATTCTTAAAAGACAACAACACCAATTTATAAAGTAAAACGCGAAAAGAAAAACGTGTAAAAATCATCCCTACATAATTAATTGACAGCAATTATAAATTTATTGGAAGTAGATTACTAAAAGGAAATACATAGTGTAATATAAGACTAAAAAGTTAAACATTCAAAAGTACGCCTCCATGTGAACTTAAACCCTAAACCATTGAGTCATCAGCCAGGCTGATGGGTAATGCTGTGAAAAGTTGTTTTGGGTACGTTTGCTAGCGCGAATCCCTAATTCTGGACCGGACGTCTAAATTTTTGTCCACTATCTATCAAGCTGTGTGCTTAGTGCGTCACGTGAGCTGTAAATTTGATATGGATATTTTTTTTTTCTGTTGTGCCCGCGGCGTGTTGTTGACTAAAATGGCGGGTGGCCGATTACGTTGAATGCGGTATAAATGCTGTGGAGCTAATAATGCTATAAATGGGTCTTCTTCCTCAGAACTCACCGTACGAGCTGAAAGAAGCGGGAGAGACCTGGCGGGGCCTGGGTCAACACCCCGGCTGCTACACGTACGACGCCACCAACATGCCGGCTCACGCTTATCCCAACAGGTGAGATAGATGTCTGTGCTGGTTGGACTGGTGAAATTGTTCATGGCTATTCTGTTTTATCATTATACATCGTCATGTTAAACTATCTTCATCGTCGTCGTCATCATCATCGTCGTCATGTTAAACCATCTTCATCGTCGTCATGTTAAACCATCTTCATCGTCGTCGTCATCATCATCGTCGTCATGTTAAACCATCTTCATCGTCGTCATGTTAAACCATCTTCATCGTCGTCGTCATCATCATCGTCGTCATGTTAAACCATCTTCATCGTCGTCGTCGTCATCATCATCGTCGTCATGTTAAACCATCTTCATCGTCGTCATGTTAAACCATCTTCATCGTCGTCATGTTAAACATCTTCATCGTCGTCATGTTAAACATCATCATCGTCGTCATGTTAAACCATCTTCATTGTCATCGTCATCATCATCGTCGTCATGTTAAACCATCTCCATCGTCGTCGTCATCATCATCGTCGTCATGTTAAACCATCTTCATCGTCGTCATGTTAAACATCTTCATCGTCGTCATGTTAAACCATCTTCATCGTCGTCATGTTAAACCATCTTCATCGTCGTCATGTTAAACCATCTTCATCGTCGTCATGTTAAACCATCTTCATTGTCATCGTCATCATCATCGTCGTCATTTTAAACCATCTCCATCGTCGTCGTCATCATCATCGTCGTCATGTTAAACATCTTCATCGTCGTCATGTTAAACCATCTCCATCGTCGTCGTCATCATCATCGTCGTCACGTTAAACCATCTTCATCGTCGTCATGTTAAACCATCTTCATCGTGTCATCATCATCGCCATCATTGTCACTACCACCACTATTTCCTGCAGTTATATCTTTTTAAAGTTTACTCCTTTCTCGGTGGTTGTCTGTTCATCCACGTGACAAGGTATACAAAACTGTAAGTCACCGTAGTGGCCCAAAGTGTGTCCGTCGAACGGAAAGTCTTAAGCTCAAATCTGCAGCATATGGATCAAAGAACATGTATCTTGGCTGCTTGTTCAGCTGCTTTACTTAAAAAAAATCGTCCTGTTCAACCAGCATTACTGAAGGGGGAGTTTTAGGTTATAATTGTGATAAGGTTATGTGCGCCATATGAAATGGTTTCAGCATGGCTCGCCACCAAGAGCCCTGAAAAGCACTACTGCAGTGTTTTTTCGATCAAAGGAGACAGACCTAAACACTACCTGACCGGCGACGAAGTCGTCTGATGCCCAGGCTATGGGCGATCCGGTCGCTGATGTGTGCGTTATCATAAATATATTGTTCAGCCATAGGTCTCGCAGTGTTTTTTTTTCATTCCGTTCGATCCTGTGCTATCAGTTCAATATCATGGGTGGAGTGCAACTCAGCATCTTTGGTCTCTCTCATCAACGTTCGTCTTACGGGTTTCTTTTGGGCATCCGCACCTCCCCAATCTATGTATTTCTCAGTTTAGTGCCTTTTTGTTGGGTGATTTTGTTGTAGTTTTTCACAGGATGTGTCTATTGTAGCGACATATTGTGTGTCTTATAACTATTGATATCAGTGTTTGTTTGACATTTCTTCGGTCTCTTCACTCCTCTGGAACTTATTCCATTTGACGTTCACATTTTCCTTCTGCATTTTCTTTCACGTGCATTTAACTTTCCTTTCATGTCTCCAGTACAGTGCTCTCCAGCTTTTTACAGGTGGCCTCCCTCTTTAATATGCAAAACCCCCGTTTCCACCCCCCCCCCCCCCCCCCCCCCCCCCCCCCCCCCCCCCCCCCCCCCCCCCCCCCGTCAAATTAAAACATGATAAAAAAGAGGAAGAATGTGTTCTTAATTATAATTAAATGTGCATGTTATTATAGTAATTAGATTTTTAACGGTAGATGTACAAACTGCTCTTGTAAACAAAAACATGGCCGCTTTATGTTGTAAAATAGTTCAATTCACATTCTACCCGTAATTCAACTGAAAATAAAAGAAAAAAAAAAAAAAAAATACAGCATCATAATCTGCGGGGGCCTTAAAATAATAATAATAAAAAAAATCAATTTCCAAAACTAAAGAGAGAAACTATATCACAAGAAAACATTTGTGCACTTAGGCTCATGTGCGTGCAAAGCGACGACATGTTACGCATCTTATCTTTTGCTGACATAATTAGGACAGAAAAAAACAATGCCCCCAGTTGTAACTTAGAGACTTTTAAAAGTTTATATTATATTATTTATGTAATTTGTCAATCCCTTTCTGTATTATCTCTTTTAATTTAAAAAAAAAAATTAACGACAATACATTTCCATATTGCACAGATTGAAGTTTCAGTAACAGAAGATTTCGTAGGAAATGCCAGCGAAGAAATATCCGCGATCAAATTTCATAAATGTATTACTTTTAAACCAGTATTATAACACTGGAGGTGACTATTACACGGCCCAGATTTCTTGAGTATGTTCTGACCAAATATAAAAGACGTAAGAGAACAAATTAAGCTCGGGAGAGGATTCAGCAGAAAGAGTGCTTCACGCTTCATGCGTTATCTTAGACTCAAAAAGCTTATATACATTTAAAGGTTTTATGTGACTAGCTGGTGTAATTTAAAACGGTAGGGCCGCAGTGCTTCATATAATTTGGGGCCTCATCAAGTCCACATCCGGCTCTTTTTTTTCCACAGCTATGGCAGTATGGACATCAACAGCGCCGCCCGACGGAAGAATGCCACCCGCGAGAACACGAACACCCTGAAGGCTTGGCTGTACGAGCATCGAAAAAACCCGTACCCGACCAAAGGGGAGAAGATTATGCTGGCGATCATAACCAAGATGACGCTCACACAGGTAGGCAGACAAGGATAGACGGGCAGATAGGCAGACACAGACAGAGATAGACAGGTGGGCAGGCGGACAGACAGACACAGAAATACAAATATTCAGGGAGACAAACACTCACAGAGGTGTAAAGTTACGAACATAAACTATATCAGACACATATTCACTCAGGCTGGCAGACAGTCAAATAGTCACAAAGACGACAGGTAGGTAAGTAGGTAGACGAGCTACTATTTGAGATCGCGGTAGGGGTGCAGGCTCTGTAAGATCAAATGGACAGGGCAAAAGAACAGAGAATCGATACACTGAAAGCACCGCCAGTTACAGATAGAAGGCCGTACAACTCAATAGGAATTTCCGTTTGTGTGAGGCTGGCGTGGCCGGTCGGTGGTAACAATTGTTATAGAGTAGATGTATACACAAATTGAACAACAGTTTAATTATTTTGCAACATGAACTAATGAATGAATTATCATTTTGAAGATAAATATTTTATAAAAGCCCATTTTTTTATCTTCAAAATAATAATTCATTCATTAGTTTATGTTGTAAATTTATTAAAATGTAGTTCAATTTGTGTATACATCTACTCGATAACAATTGTTACCATCGACTGGTCACGCCGGCCTCACACAAATAAGAATCTCCGTTGAGCTGTACGGCCTTATATCTGGAGCTGGCCGTGACTGAAAGACTGATTTAAGGGCGGGTGGCGGGGAGTGGGGGGGGGGGGTGTTTGTGGTCGAGGTTTCGAAAGATTTTCAACATTGAAGGGGAAACAGACGAGGGCTTTTAATCAGGTTGCAGCTGGCATTTTTAGCAAATCTACTCATTGGCCGCTGAAGAAGAGAACTGAGCACTTATAGGAATGTCCTGAGTACAGTTATGTCAGTTTATTCATTCATTTATTTATTCATTCATTTATTCATTCATTCATTTATTTATTTATTACTTATAAACAGACAACCAGACAAACAGATAACTACATACTTTTTCATGAGCTTTCCTACAAACATCGTTTTCCTAACAACTACTTTGTCACGAGATAATCGTTTCCTTAATATAATTACCGTCTACGTGAAGTCAATTTAACCGCCATATTGATCAAATCTTGAGTTTCCAATCAGTCGAAAAGAAGGCAATATATTATCTATTACGTTTGTTGCGTGCGCTTCAGTTCGTCAAAGGACAATCTATTTGTGATACTTGTAAATATATAACAACTGAATAGCTGTCCAGGTACAAGCCAGATTTCTGAATACACCCTCAGATTGAGGATATTAAGAAAAGTTCCTCGTGGCGTCCTCGTTGAAAGGACGATCATTACGTGCCTTACAATCTCAAAATAATGTCACAGATGTCACTTTATGGCACACCATTTTATCAACTGTTCTTATAACTGTGTTTAACGCATGGTTATATTTTTCAACGATTGCTTTAAGTATGGTTTTGTGATGACAATTTATTATTTGTCCATGTAACTATTATTTTATGGAAAATTGGCTTCCATGGATACAGTGGTTTGGTAATGCAATAAATTAATATTTTTATGATGTTTAAGAAATAATTCATTATTGTAAACGTGTGACTTCACTCGATACTTCCTGTTTGATTGTGATGTCATTGGAGGTGATGTTAGAATGCCAGATTATCCATTTGAATACGTGGACTTTTAGATTTGGTAGAAAAAGGGTAAACCGTTGAAACAGGCTAAGTTCAAAATATTGAAAAAGGAAACCCCCATCTTAACAGGCTAAGTTCGAATGTTTGAAAAGAATAAGTTCAACATGTTTAAAAAAAGAAAAACCATTCAAACAGGCTTAGTTCAATATGCAGAAGATACAACATTGAAGTAAATATGGACAAAACTGACGTAATCCAGGTCGGTAGAACTCCTAATTTAAATGTCTAGTCTAGGTAGTTCTTGTATAATCCCAGAGCAGATAAGAATATATCGAGAAATAGAAACAAGATGCCAACGAGCGAGTGCACTTATGTGTCAACGGACAGCGTAATTAAGACACCCAAGCATACGTATGAGTGTCAAGAAACAGATTATACACAGCATTTTCGTGTCAGCTCTATGTTTCCAGTTCTGGATGTGGACATTATCAAAGGCTAACATATGTAAATCTACTGCCCTGCTCTCTAGCGTAGTTGGTTAAATCAGACTGCGCGGTGACCGAGTGACGAACTCCTTGAGGTCCGGGTTCAAGCCCGGGGTAGGCAGAAAAGCCACATTTCTCCCAGATTTACGGTACCTATCATGGAATCAAGGCCGAAGAGTTGCGATATCCATAGTACCGAGTCTAAGGTTTAACAACTCGTGGTTTCTGGGTAGTTTAAGAACAAAAAAATGTAAATGTAACACTTGTGAAACGATATGCATGAGAAAATCCACCAACTTAACCATCCGAGACAAAATTAGAGAGGATATTATCAGACAGACTGTAGGAACAACACCATGCACACAATTTATTGAGAAAGAGAAGATCAACTGGTTTGGTCATCTCCTCAGAATACAACCACGACTCTCAACACATGTGCGATATAAGAAAATATCTGATGTTGTTCTCATTAAAAAAAAAAAATGAATGTGAACAAAAAAAAAAAAAAAAACCAAAAGAACCCAGAATATTAACCACAATAGGACTCAATGAAGATTTGAACCTAAAACCTGCTGGACTGAGGTCAGGCAGCTGACTACTGCGCCTCAGTGGCTTCGCCTAATTCTTTTCATGCGTTCGCCCTTATAGTGGCGGTTGACACGCTGATGCTTACAGCTAACCTGCGATATCTATATCTTTCCTCCAAATACATCCAAGTCAAACTAATTATTCATTCTCCGCCTTTTACTAGACGTTTGTGCAGGGAGCAGTGGGTCTCCCCCCCCCCCCCCCCCCACATGGGGCTGTAGAACCCTCACGGGGATCAGAGCTCATGATTTTCGAGTTACTCTTGTCTGTCTCTTGTTTTATCAACAGCCCATTATCTGCACTCTTGCCCCACCCAACAGCCCATTATCTGCACTCTTGTCTCACCCAACATCCCATTATCTGCACTCTTGTCCCACCCAACAGCCCATTATCTGCACTCTTGTCTCACCCAACAGCCCATTATCTGCACTTTTGTCCCACCCAACAGCCCATTATCTGCACTTTTGTCCCACCCAAAATCCCATTATCTGCACTCTTGTCTCACCCAACATCCCATTATCTGCACTCTTGTCTCACCCAACATCCCATTATCTGCACTCTTGTCTCACCCAACAGCCCATTATCTGCACTCTTGTCTCACCCAACATCCCATTATCTGCACTCTTGTCTCACCCAACATCCCATTATCTTCACTCTTGTCTCACCTAACAGCCCATTATCTGCACTCTTGTCCAACCCAACATCCCATTATCTGCACTCTTGTCTCACCCAACATCCCATTATCTGCACTCTTGTCTCACCCAACAGCCCATTATCTGCACTCTTGTCTCACCCACCATCCCATTATCTGCACTCTTGTCTCACCCAACAGCCCATTATCTGCACTCTTGTGTCACCCACCATCCCATTATCTGCACTCTTGTCCCACCCACCATCCCATTATCTGCACTCTTGTCTCACCCACCATCCGATCATCCACACTCTCGTTCACTCTGTCTGAGGGAGTTGCGTGGTCTTGAGGTATGGTGTCCGCCTCGAGTGCTAGAGGTCCCGGGTTCAAGTCCTTTTGAAGGCTGGGATTTTTTTCTGTTCACGTGGACATCTAGTAATTTCCATTGATCTGTGGGTAGTGAGATCGGTTGCCCGTGTGTATTGTTGCGCACGTAAAAAAAAATTCCTTTACAGTTGGAAATCAAGATTATTAGCCTTACGGCGCTGTCCGGGCAGCATTTGGAGCTAAAAATCTACCTAAAATATCTCAGGATCAACGCCGGTGCTACGGAGCCCGTGAACTGCGCTGAGCTACTGCGGACTCAGACTTAAGTTGGAAGTAGAACGGAGCACTAATGGGTTACTATCCGTGTGAAATAATGTTGATCCGTTGTTCACAACTCAAACCTCATGTTCACTCTGTCGACTTTTTCCTTCTCACACCAAAATATTCGTGTACGTCAAAGTGAACTAGCATTGCCAGCGAGCTTCGTAATTATTAGGTATTCAGTCAGTCAGTCAGTCAGTCAGCCATTCAGTCAATCAGTCACTAAGTAAGTCAGTCAGTCATTAAGTCAGTAGCATGTCCTTTGCAGACCCTTGCTCCCATAACAACCCTTCGGAAAAACTTCTTGATCACAAGCAAGATGTCCCCCGTCCGACACACCCATCTGGAGATCATCCGCCACATCCTGTACCCATCTTCTCTTTGGCCTTCCTCTCTTCCCAAACATAAACCTCTCCATTATTGTTGTCTCTAAACTTTCGTGACGTTTCAAGGAACCAAAATATTTCAGTTTTCTGGTGTTCCAGGTGCCTAGTTCAATTTCAGCTTTAAGCGATTTGGCAGCAGGTCGCATTGCGTTGACTTCAGAATTCTCAAACTGCTAAACGTAAAATTGCCCAGTGAAGTAAAAATTAAAAATTAAACACTTACGTGCTGATGTTGGCTCTGCAACCCTTTGGCAAGAATCCGCAGCTGGGGGGTGGGGAGGGAGATGGGGGGGGGGAGGGGAGAGAATACACATACATTATGACAACTTTCTTTAGCATCATCATCACTAGTCTTAGCTACACCACCACTACCACTATCATTATCACCAACACCACCATCAACACCACAACCATTATCGTCATCACCACCACACGCATCACCATCATCATCATCATCACCACCACAATCACAACTACTACCACCACAATCATCATCATCATCGTCATCCCAGCCACCGCGACCCCCACCACCATCATCATCATCATCATCACTACTACACCCCCATCACCAACATCAACAAATCAAAACCACCACCACAGTCACCACCACTACCACCATCAGCATCATCATCATGTCGTCATTAATATCATCATCATTACCATCAACATCTCCATCTTCATCAATTGGTATATTATTTTCTGTAATATATACAACCCCCTCCCCCACCCCCACCTCCCCTTCCATCCACGCCCAGGTTTCCACCTGGTTCGCCAACGCCCGGCGACGTCTGAAGAAAGAAAACAAAATGACTTGGTCACCCAGGAATAAACCGGGAGGCAACGGCGACGACGACGATGATGATGAAGATGACAGCAAAGATAAGGCGGAGAGTGATGAGGAAAGCGCCAGAGGGAAATCGCCAAAAGATGAAAAGAAAAGCTGCGACAGAGGTCAGTTTGTATTGTGATCCCCGCCTGTGTCTGCTGTTGTTTTTATCGGTCAAAATAGCAGGCCTTGCCTTGTTTTATCCTGTCTTGTTTTATCTTCTTTTGTTTTATCCTCTCTTGTTTTAGCAGCTTTTGTTTGATCCTGTCTTGTTTTATGCTCTCTTGTTTTATTTATTCTTGTTTTATCTTCTCTTAATTTATCTTCTCATCTTTTACCTTCTCTTGTTTATTTTTCTTTTGTTTTACATGTTCTGTTTTATCTTTTCTTGTTTTACCTACTATATTTTATTTTCTCTTGTTTTATTTTCTCTTGTTTTACCTGCTCTCTTTTATCTTCTCTTGTTTTATCTGCTCTGTTTTATCTTCTCTGGTTTTAAAAAGTAAATAAAAAAGTAAAGGACTCTTTCCACGCCTTTAGGCGTATAAGGCATATAGGGCTAGACCTATATATAGACCAAGCGGCACAAGACGGGTGATGTGGTCAGCAACACGCCGGTCGCCTTTACTTTCCCAGGACTGCATCCGGTACCCACTCAAGGCTGGGTCGACCTGGGATCCAAAATCCTTTTTGAAAAATGTCTGTCTACGCCAGGGAGCGAACCCACGACCTTCCGAACCGCGACGAGCGTCTAACTGCTCGGCCACGGCAACTCCCTCTCTGGTTTTACCTATATTTTATCGTCTCTTGTTTTTCTTCTCTTGTTTTACTTACTTTTGTTTTGTCTTATCTTGCTTTTCTTTTGTTTTATCCTCTCTTGTTTTATCTTTTCTTGTTTTATATTCTCCTGTTTCATATTCTCCTGTTTTATCTTCTCTCCTGTTTTATCTTCTCTCCTGTTTTATCTTCTCTTGTTTTATCTTCTCTCCTGTTTTATCTTCTCCTGTTCTATCTTCTCCTGTTTTATCTTCTCTCCGGTTTTATCTTCTCTCATGTTTTATCTTCTCTTGTTTTATCTTCTCTCCTGTTTTATCTTCTCTCCTGTTTTATCTTTTCTTGTTTTATCTTCTGTCCTGTTTTTTCCTCTCCTGTTTTATCTTCTCATGTTTTATATTCTCTCCTGTTTTATCTTTTCTTGTTTTATCTTCTCTCCGGTTTTATCTTCTCTTGTTCTATCTTCTCTCCTGTTTTATCTTCTCTTGTTTTATCTTCTCTTGTTTTATCTTCTCTCCTGTTTTATCTTCTCTTGTTTTATCTTCTCTCCTGTTTTATCTTCTCTCCTGTTTTATCTTCTCTCCTGTTTTATCTTCTCTCCTGTTTTATCTTCTATTGTTTTATCTTCTTTCCAGTTTTATCTTGTCTTGTTTTATCTTCTCTCCTGTTTTATCTTCTCTTGTTTTATCTTCTCTCCTGTTTTATCTTCTCCGGTTTTATCTTCTCCTGTTTTATCTTCTCTTGTTTTTATTTTTTTTTTCTTGTTTTATCTACTCTTGTTTTGTCTGCCTTTTAATTGTACCTTGTATTGTTTTAGCTGCTCTTGTTTTATCCTTTCTTGTTTTATCTTCTCTTGTGCTAGCCTTTCTTGTTATATCTTCTCTTGTTTTATCCTTTCTTGTTTTATCATCTCTTGTGTTATCCTCTCTTGTTTTATCTTCTCTTGTTTTATCCTTTCTTGTTTTGACCTCTCTTGTTTTGACCTCTCTTGGTTTTTGTACTCAAATAGGCAGGTGTTTTAGTAGGTAAATTGAATAGTAGTAACTTGATAGCTAGGTGTGGGAGTGTCAGCTAGCTGGGTAAACAGGCAGATGCGTGTGTGGGTATGTGGGTAGACAGACAAATATACTGTTGCTTTGGAAATGGTATTTAAGTAGGCAGTAGACTGACTATGCTTAAGTAATCAATAGGATTGCAGAGAGGTGTTCAGTTTTGAAAAATTGCATAACTGTAGAAAGGTATGTAGTCAGAAAATAGGGGATTGTAAAGATGTCTGTAATTAGGCACTTACATAGGATTAAAATGAGGTATGTAGCTACATACATTAGTAGAGGTATTTAAATAGCTTCATTAGTACGAGTGTGAAGAGGTTTGTAGTTAGTCAAAGAGGTAGGATTATGGAGAGGTATGTAGATAGTCCCCACTGCAGGCTGCGTGGTTTTTTGTCGTGGTATGGGGACGTCGCAGGTCGACCAAGCCTAAAAATGGGTACCAGGATGGGCTGTCCTGTGAAAGTAAAGACAGCCGGCGTAATGCTGACCACATTACCCACAGAGTGCTGATGGTCTGTAAAAATATGGGTCGCTCTGCCCATATGCCCGATGCGCCGAAAGGCGTGAAAAGGGAACTTTACTTTTTTTTCTTATGTAGATAGTCACATAGATAGGATGTTTTAGAGGTATTTAATTAGTCACTGATAAAATATGATATACAGGTAGGTAGTTAGTCACAGATGTAGAATTATAGAAAGACATGTAGCTAGTCACAGAGGTTGGATTATTGAGAGGTATGTAGCTAGTCACAGATGTATTATTATAGAGAGGTATGTAGTGAGTCACAGATGTATTATTATAGAGAGGTATGTAGTGAGTCACGGAGGTATTATTATAGAGATGTATGTAGTGAGTCACAGAGGTATTATTATAGAGAGGTATGTACTGAGTCACAGAGGTATTATTATAGAGAGGTATGTAGTTAGTCACAGAGGTATTATTATAGAGAGGTATGTAGTGAGTCACAGAGGTATTATTATAGAGAGATATGTAGTGAGTCACAGAGGTATTATTATAGAGAGGTATGTAGTTAGTCACAGAGGTATTATTATAGAGAGGTATGTAGTGAGTCACAGAGGTATTATTATAGAGAGGTATGTAGTTAGTCACAAAGGTAGGATTATGGAGAGGTGTAGGTAGATAGTCGCAGAGGTGGGATTATAGGGCGACATGTAGCTAGTTACAGAAGTAGGATTATTGAGAGGTATGTAGTTAGTCACAGAGGTAGGATTATAGAGATACAAGTAGTTAGTCACAAGGGTAATTTTATAGAGTGTTATACACATAGATAGGATTTTAGAGAGGTATACATTTATAGACAAATGTGGGATTATAGATAGGTATGTAGTTAGACACATAAGTGGGATTGTAGAAAAGTAGGCAGTCAGGTAGACGAGTGAGATGGCAGGGAGGTATGTAAAGAGATATGAGGTAATTTGGGGTATTTAAATATCGTAAGCTAGGGCATACCTTTAAATCTACCATAGAAGTCTACTTTACAGTGTGTAGTTCACGATTCTGAGGAGTGGCTGACCGAGCGGTTAGAACGCTGGGTTCTCACGCGGGAGACCCGGGATCGAACCCTTGGTAAGGCTGGGAATTTTTTTCTGTCGGGGGCAAAATAAAACCTCACATGCACAGTGGTGGCGACAGCACTAGCCACGAGGCCATAAATTCTCAGGCTCAATGACCCCCCCCCCCCCCCCGCCCCCCCCCCCCCCCCCCCCCGCCTACACCACAAAAGTGATATAACAAAGACAGTAACTGGCAGTTGTATTGGCAGCTCACAATTCTGAGTTAGGAGTGTACTTCTCTTATCGCACTTTTTACCCGTCGTATAAGTCGACCTTTAATTTGTAGGCGATTTTTTTTTTTTAGCTTCGAAAACTCGAATTATGCGTGGCAATTTACGATAGGTAAATTACGGATTACTGCTCAGGTAGACAGACTCGTAGATTTCCGCGTAGACTGGTGACATACTGCACGCATCTTGCCGATTGTTTTATACCTTCTTTTCGTTTGAGATGTGTTAAGTATGGTTTGCACATCCTGCAATGTAAACCTAACGTATTCACATTCTTCCTTATTTGTACCCCCTCTCCTTGCGCCTGTAGTACCAGTACGTGTGCAGCTCCCCATTATTCCAACTAATTCGTTTTTGATAGTACGGATTACATCCGTTCATTCTCGGCTCATTATACTTTTAAAACAACCGTATAATTATGGCTTGCCAAGTGAGTCAAATATTTGGTTTATAATAAAAAAGATCTGATATGATTTGCTTGCTAAACGTAAGTTAATCACTTGTTATTCTGTTGTATATTTGATTCTGCGTTCAAGGCGTTTTAACGGCTGAGTGAATATATTTAAGTACGGATGGTGAAATATTTCATGTTAGCTCTGTTCGGTTTATGGCAATGTTTGCTTTTTGGGGATTTTAGTTTTATGTTTACAAACTGTGTATGAGATAGCTCCCCCCCCCCTTTCCCCCCCCCCCTTTTTTTCCATTTTTGTCTGTGTGCATTTCGGGTCCCGTTTAGGGTAGGGGAGGGGAATCGAATAACTTCTCCTTAACCCCTCCCCCCCCCCCCCACACACACACATACACCACCACCACCATTAGCACCACCACATACAAGTTAATTGTGTATCATTTACAGAACGTTGCAAGACCAACTCCCAGCATTTGTTATTGTTGTTATTATTGTTGTTGCTGCTGCTGCTGCTGATGATGATGCTGCTGTTTGTGAATTTCACTAGTCAATTTTACAATTAGTAGTTTGCCATTACCCCTGAAAAGTCGGTGCTTCACACCATTGTCGAGATCAAAGCAAAGTGGTCTGCCGCCAAATCACCCGAGCCGGGAATCGACCAGGACATTTTGAAGTTACCAAGGGAGGTGGCAAGGCCTAAGCCACTGACGCCGACACATTTGCGATTGCCAAGCATGTCTTAAAATGTGACGAATGAAGGATTCGCTGACATAGGATATTTTTGGTCGAAGGTAACAGATATCACAGCTACGCTGTAAATCACAACACCATCTGCCAACCACTATTATAAGGGGCAAATGCAGAAGTATGTTCTGCCAACCCCGCGCCGTTTTACAACCAGGGAAATAGCTTTGGGTTTAGGTTTGGGTTTAGGTTTGGGTTTAAGTTTAGGTTTGGGTTTAGGTTTGGCTTTAGCTTTGGGTTTAGGTTTAGGTTTGGGTTTAGGTTTAGGTTTAGGTTTGGGTTTAGCTTTGGGTTTAGGTTTGGATTTGGGTTTGGGTTTAGGTTTAGGTTTAGGTTTAGGTT